CCCCCACCTCCCCCCATACCCCCGCCTACGGCACTCCTATTCGGGAAAAAAGGACCAGTTTGGTCCCCTAAGAAGGGCTTATCATTGGTTTTCTAACAGCAACTTTTTACAACTTTCTTTTGACACGTGAGTCCTCCCTGCAATATTTTATTCGTTCATTATCTTGCATTTAGGTTGGTTTGCGCCATGCACTAGGCATTGCACAGAAATTTAGCTATGGACGCGCATTTGGCTCGTATTTGTGTGAGCTCCGGGGACATTTAAATCGTGAAATTTTTTACCTCAAACTTACTTGGTACCGTTTAAATGACCATAGTGAGGGGGAAATTGGACAATGGTAGATAAGCACAATTTTGGGTCTGTTCCAGAACCCTCAATGGCCTTTTTAATGGGTTCTCGGAGGTTGTTTTGATGCACTTTCGGCACTGGTGCTCACCTGCCTGTTTTGCTATTCTGTCTGACGGTCGCTTTCATGGGAAATCGCAAGAACCGGTCTCGCTCACAGTCGAGCGTTTTTGCGCGCAATTGAAGTGCAAAAGGCCATATTCACCAAAAAAATAGTCTTACATATTGCACATTGCACTGTCGTCTGCAGAAACAATCCTACAATTAGTAGATATGCTTATTGTCTGCTTGCCTCTTCTTGGGAGAAGAGGGCTTTGTGTCATACCCCTTCAGGGGTTCGGAGGGTTAACCTGCGCCACTACGTCTATGGAGCCAAAGGAGACGCTGGGTGACATCGATGGATGAATACCTTTAAAACATTCAATATATCGACGACCTGCCTGTTGTTGTTCATCGATCACTGTTGTTCATCGAGTTATTGAGGGGCTTCTTATAGAAAGGGTCAGAAAACAAGAGTTACTCCCCCATGTTCAAAACGAAATTAATTACACTTTAATAAATTCAAGCCGAATGGTCCAAACTGGGCTTGAAGAGCACATACCATTCTGTCAAAAAATTCAGAACAGCTTCCTACTCGGACGTCATTAGAAGACCTTGCCTTGGGAACATGGTGCACAGTACGAGCTCAACGAGGTCGTCGAGGTACCATAGACCATTACGACGTTATCTGAAACGCTGGTCAAAAGCGGTCTTGCACAGTCACAGCTAGTGTCTCTAGGAAGCTATTCACCAGTTAATCATTGAAGAAATTATGTAGCAGCTTCAGGCCGGAGCGATTACGGTAAGCCTCGTTGAGCTCGACGGTGACGGCAGATGACGTCATATTCTGAAGACGGTGAGGCAGTGAAGGAGGGCCTGCTTCTACTTTGCCGTCAAACTTCCATCAACAGCGGCGTCCTGCGCGACGAAAACTTTGGTGATATGCACCATGAGCGAAGTGATCTATTCTGCCCCCCCCCTTCCCGCTGTGTATCTCCACTGCTACCCGTGCCGAGTTTCTCTAGTAGACTCTGCTTGGCTTTGAGGACGTGCAGCTCAATTCCTTTCGTTCAGAGCTTTCGTGAAGAAGTCTGACCATCGGGCCGGCGGTCGTCCAGGTGTTCGTTTGACGTCCCGAGGGATCCAGTCGGTAACCGCTCTGGTCCAACGGTCATCGCAAAATCGCATGACGTGTCCGGCCCACCTTATCTTCGATTCCTTGGCGAAAACGGCAGCGTCCCTGATCTTTTTGATTATTGAAGGGTTCAAAA